AAGCTTATGAAAGGGAAGAAAGTAGAGAATCATGTGAAGAAGAGGAGGCCAAATGTGATGATGAAGTAGAATATGACACTCCTAATTTACCTTTGTATGTTGTTAGGAGAGTGTTGAGTGCACAAGTGATAGAAGATATGAACCAAAGAGAAAACTTGTTCCATAGAAGGTGTAAGATTAAAGATCAAATGTGTTCTTTGATTATTGATAGTGGTAGTTGTGCTAATGTTGCTAGTGCTTCTATGGTTGACAAGTTGAACTTGAAGACTCAAAGATATACTCGTCCTTATAAACTCCAATGGCTTAATGAATGTGGTGAACTTAAAGTGACTAGACAAGTTTTGGTGAGTTTTAAAATTGAAAAGTATGTTGATGATATTTTTTGTGATGTGGTGCCCATACAAGCATGTCATTTATTGTTGGGGAGGCTGTGAAAATATGACAAGGGTGATCTACATGATGGAAGGGCTAATAAATATTCTTTTGAGAAAAATGATAAAAGAATAGTCCTTACTCCTTTGACTCCATTTCAAGTGAGTGAAGACTATAGGCATATGAAAGAATTGAGTGAGAGTGACAAGAAAGAAGGAAAAGAAAATATTGAAAAGAAGAATGAAAAGAAAGAAGAGATAAAACAAGAGAGTTCAAGTGAGGAACATTCTTCTTATAATTCTCTCGTGACTAATATTTTTCTTGCTAGTTGTTTAGCTTATTGTGTAGATCCTTTGAAGAAAGATTCAAATGGAAGTTTTCAAGAAAGAACTCCAAGTGAAGTGACCGAAGCCACCCTACCCCAAAGTAAAGATCTTTCCATTCTTCAAGGAGGTAAAATAGAATCTTTAGAAGTGCATCAAGCTATGATTGCTAAGCCTAACACTTTCTCCTTGTGATGAGCATAGTGATATTTCAAGTATTAGTTTGGGTATATTTATTGATTCTAATAATTTTTTAAGTTGTGGAGATACACTAGATAATGATTCTAGTTGTTTTGATGGACTGAATGACCTATTTGCTTATGAAGAAGTACTGATTGAGGTTGAGGAAAGCGTAAAGGTTGTATCTTTATATGTGTGATTTGTTGAGTTTGATCCATTAATTCCTATTGTTCATTCTTTCTATTTTGAGGATCATTCTTTAATTGATGATGATTGCTTATTTGAAGTTGAATTGAATGGTAAAGTTTAAAACTTTAAGCCATTTGATTCTTTCTTGTTTGATTGTAAGATGGAATCTTTCGAGTTTGATTTGGATTTACCAATCAAAATTTCTATTTTTGAGAAGTCGTTTGAGATTACTAATGAGATTGTTTTGGAAGCTAAACTTTTTGTAAAAGAAGAAAGTTCTTTACCTGGTGTAAACTTTCTAACTTTTTTCACTCATATATTTGATAGAGCTAATTTGTTTCACTACACTAGTGCTTTGAGTTTAAAACAAGTTGATAACTTTCATGTGGATTGGTGTGATGAGTTTACGAAAAAGCATACAAAATCTTTCTTGAATGATAATATTGGTGAAGCTAAGAGATTTATTTTATTTGAACATACCATTCTTATTCTTGATTTCTCATGTCCGCTTGAATTCAAGAATAGCTTGTTTATTTGGCTTATGCTTATGCTTGGACTTGATAAAGCTATGAGAGTTAATACTTTTCTTAATGATTCTTATATTGAGGCACACTTGGTGTGTAGATTAGAGGTGTTTCATGACAATTCTCATATTTTGGGTAGCTTTTATGCTTTGTTTTGTCCATGGGTATCATTAGATTTTAGTTTGAATGGTAGATTTGTCTTACTTATTGGTTTGGATGCTTGGATTTACCATAAATTTGTTAAAATATGATTTACTTGTTAGTTTGAGGCACTTGCTTATGTCCAAGTTAAAATTTTACTAATGAAGCTCCATTTCTTTTGTTTAAAGGTTCAAATTCGAGGACGAATTTCTTTTAAGGGAGGGAGGATGATACAATCTAGATAGCCATCGAGCATTGGAGGCTACGTTCATAATGGGGCGGCTACATGTATATATCACCAACAATTATAGACTATATTACATTTTGTGGCTATATTTATAATATTTAGCTCCCTATTATTAATAACCCTTAAGTCTCTCGTTTTAGGGTTAGCTTATTTTGATATTGTGAATGAAAACTCATTGAGAGTGTTTAGGATGAATTCCTATGTTGGTTGATTACTTGTTAAGGTGAACTTGCAAGGGGATTGCTTCCCCTTGAGGGTTGTTCCTATAGTTTTGGGTCAATTAAGTCTTAAATTGATTGAGTATTTGTTTATTTCAAATGTTCTTTCAATTTCCTTAGTTAGTTCTCTACTAAATCTCTATAAGATGAAATTTGCCTAATTACTAATTATTTGTTCGGTTGTTAGATTAATTGTTTGGTTTATAAAATCTAAACAATTAAATTGTCGTATTAGCTCTTAGTTATTAATCTTAAGAGTTGTAAGAATGCTGTAACTTAGTTTAATTCGTAGTCATTAAGTTAAATATTTGTCAATAGTTATTCAAGTTATCGCTATTAAAGGATTGCTAAGAACTTTAACGAATTGTTACGGTTTACTTAGAATTTTTTGTTAGATAATACTCCTATTTATAAAAGCGGACTGACACTTTTTTCAAATGAGAAATTATGAAACTGAAATTCGCAAAAAGGGAATAACCTATAATTTAAATGTTTTACTCATTCTTATCTAGGGAATCTTAAAGAATTAGTTTTGATTTTTTCCCCCTCTGATCTGAAGTATGATGGCAGAACAAAGTAACCATCAAGAAATAGCATATTATGCCTCTTATTGCTTTAAAACATCGAAATTATGGTCCAGTAAATGTAATTTTTATTATTATTCAATAAGTATTCCAGTTAAGACTGTTAGTTCTTCTTGCTTCTCATTCTCTCTTCACATTCACAGGCACAATAGTGCAGAATTAAAAAAAAAAAAAAAA